AGAAGGATGGATGGATAGAAGGGTGTATGGATGGGTGGGTGGATGGATAGAAGGATGATGTAAAAATAAATGGATAGATGAGTAGATGATGAGTGGATGATGGATGGATGGGCAGATGGGTGGAAGGATGAACAGATGGATAGGTGAGTGGATGGATGGTTGGATAGAAGGATGGATGGATGAGTGGATGATGAACGGATGGATGGATGGATGAGTGGGTGATGGTTGGATAGAAGGGTGGATGGATGGGTGGGTGAATGGATAGAAGGATGATGTAGGATAAATGGATGGATGAGTGGATGGTTGGATGGATGGAGGCAATGCATGAGTGAATGAATGAGCTTGCACAAATACCTACAGATTCACACACACATGTGACTGGAAATAAATGCAGTCTCACACGTACGTACTTCTCCGGGCACCCCGTGGAGAGAACCAGCACTGGGGAGAGAGGCAGGCCAGCTGTGGAGGAGGACACAGGAGGCAAACCCTCTGACCCGCTACAACCAGCTTCCCCATGCGCTGCCCCCCCCCCCCTCCGCCCCACAATGCTGAGATAATTTCCGGAAGAGGAGGAAAATGCTGATTCAGGGTTTTGTGTCCCAGGCTACGTGCCAGGCCAGGGAGTGGGACAGATCCGGCCTGAGGGGGCGGAGGGGGGTGGTGAGGCGAGGAGGGAGAATAACGGAGGGAGGCAGGTGGGGCTGAGGCAGGTGGGGCTAAGGCAGAGCAATAGACATGGAGAAACAGACGGAGAGATAGAGCGTCGGAGACAAACATACACAGACGGGCAGGCAGGCAGGCAGGCAGGCATGCAGAAAGGCATAGAGACAGACACAGAAAGATATAAGCTAGAGATACATGAAACAGAAATCCAAATTCAGACACAGAGCGAGATAAGGCAGGCTCCAAGGACAAACAGGTAGAGAGAGAGGAAGAAAAATAAAGGCACAGAGAGAAATGGCGACACGCAGAGGGAAACAGAGAGATGATAGATAGATGATAGATAGATAGAGCCAGAAGAGTCAGCTAATACTAGGCGCAGAGAGGAGAGGACATTTGCCTGGGATTGCACAGCCTGGACGTGGCTCCCAGTGCCGGCCTGTTTGACTCCAGAGTCCAGGTTCTCGCCTTCACCCTGTGCTGCCTCAGGAAGACCCAAAGGGATGGGAAGATGGAGCTGAGGCTGCTGAGTGTGGGTCCCAGCGACAGAGGGACATAGCCACGCGTGTATTCACTCAATATACACATTCTGCGCCTCCCTGAGTGGGGGCAGCCGGAGAGCTGGAGAGCCGGATGAGTCCGGAGCTGCTGGCCCGGCGGGGGAGGCTGACCCAGGGCGGATCCCTGGACCAGGCAGAGGCGTGGACCGTGTTCAGAAGTCTGGGCCAGGAGCCGGTGAAGCACACACGGCAGGAGAGCACAGCAAACGCCCCTCGGAGGTGGCTGCCGGTAGGAGGGAGCGTTTGAGGTTCTTGTTAAAGGAGGAGAGCCTTCGCTCTGGGAAAAGGAGGGTTCAGAGGGGCATTCCAGAAGGCACAGTGTGTGGGCGTGGAGGCAGGAATGGCCTGGGAGGCCCTGGCTAAGTAAAAATCTTTTTTTTTTTTTTTTAATATATTTTATTGATTTTTTACAGAGAGGAAGGGAGAGAGCTAGAGAGCTAGAAACGTCGATGAGAGAGAAACATCGACCGGCTGCCTCTTGCACAACCCCCACCGGGGATGTGCCTGCAACCAACATACATGCCCTTGACCGGAATCGAACCCGGGACCTTTCAGTCCGCAGGCCGACGTTCTACCACTGAGCCAAACCGGTTTTGGCTAAGTAAAAATCTTAATCAAAGGTGACTGGAAGCTGTTCGAAGGGGTGAGATGGGAGAGGAGCGTGGGGCCAGATGAGGCAAATCTCAGATGCCCGGATGAGGGGCCAAAATGTGGTTCAGGGATTCAGGGGACAGACAGGGTCAGCTCTGGGTGCAGAGAGAACCAGCCGGAATCCTGTGGGGAAAGGAATGAGGATGGGAGCCCAGGAGGAGGCTGGGGAGAGAGAGGGTCCCGGCAGGAGAGGTGGAGCCGTGGGGGTGTCCTGGCTCCAGGAATGAGGAGGAGAGGAAGCAAGGTCAGGAGGCAGAAGGGATTGCGCCTGGGGGGCTGGTGTGCCGGTGGTCATGAGATGAAAGGTGCTCCCTTGCCAAAACCGGTATGGCTCAGTGGATAGAGCGTCAGCTTGCGGACTGAAAGGTCCCGGGCTCGATTCCAGTCAAGGGCATGTACCTTGGTTGTGGGCACATCCCCAGTAGGGGGTGTGCAAGAGGCAGCTGATTGATGTTTCTCTCTCATCGATGTTTCTAGCTCTCTATCCCTCTCTCTTCCTCTATGTAAAAAAATCAATAAAATATATATTTTTTAAAATAAAAGGTGTTTCCTTCCCATAGGGATGGGCTCGGGGACAGAAATGAAGGACAGCCTGAGGGGAGACCCAGACGTGAAGAGGGGGCAGGGAGTCAGGGCCACAAGGAAACTGAGTCTGGAAATGAGTCTAACGACGTCCAGACTGTTTTCATTGCCGGTGACACAAACCCAAATGACCTGCCAAAACCGGTTTGGCTCAATGGATGGAGCGTCGGCTTGGGGACTGAAAGGTCCCAGATTCGATTCCGGTCAAGGGCATGTACCTTGGTTGCGGGCATATCCCCAGTAGGGGGTGTGCAAGAGGCAGCTGATCGATGACTCTCTCTCATTGATATTTCTCTCTCTTTTTTTAAAAATATATTTTATTGATTTTACACAGAGAGGAATTGAGAGGGATAGAGAGTTAGAAACGTCGATGAGAGAGATACATCGACCAGCTGCATCTTGCACACCCCCCAATGGAGATGTGCCCGCAACCAAGGTACGTGCCCCTGACCAGAATCGAACCCGGGACCTTTCAGTCCGCAGGCCGACGCTCTATCCACTGAGCCAAACCGGTTTTGGCACTCATCGATATTTCTAACTCTCTCTCTCCCTTCCTCTCTGTACAAAATCAATAAAATATATTAAAAAAACACATACACACACAAAAAAAACCAAAAGACCTGAGCATAAGGGGGAGTTGACTGTGTGGGAACGGGTTTCAGGCATGGCTGGATCCAGGTACTGCAGTCATCATCAGGAATCTGACTGTGGGCATCGTTGGTGTCTGCTTTCCTCTGACCTTGGCTTTCAGGCAAGTCGTCTCAGCATATGGCAACGCGATACCCCTCCCCACTCCTCCCCCTCCCCCCGCAGCTCCAACCCGGACCCCCACCAGCTTGGCAACCTCAGGGGGAAAACAGAGATCCTCTTTAATGACGACTTCAGCAAAAGTCCAAGGGTTGACGCTGTTTCCTTGATTGATTTTCTTTTTCTTTATCTTTAAATATTTTTTATTGATTTCAGAGAGAGGAAGGAAGAGGAAGAGAGAGAAACATCAGTGATGAAACATCGATCGGCTGCCTCCTGCACGCCCCCTACTGGGGATCAAGCCTGCAACCCGGGCATGTGCCCCGACTGGGAATCAAACCGTGACCTCCCGGTCCATGGGTTGACGGGCTCCGTATTGGTTGCTGAGCTCAGTCCTGAACAGGTCATGCGGAAGGTGAAGGCGCTACCACCTAGGAAGCAGGGAGCTGATGCTTATCACCAGGAATAATAGCCAGGACAGAGACCTCTGGGAGCAGAAAGAGAGACAAGTACAGACACAGACTGGGAGGGCAGACAGAGAGAGTGAACAAGACCAGCCTTCTCTGGCACAGTTTCTGCCGAGCGTTTGGCAAAGACAGGGATGTCTAATGGGCACCGATACGGTTAGACCCCTCCCCTCCTTCACTTGGGGCCCAGGAGCACCCAGGAGCCCCCAGATCCTTCTCCTCCAGACACAGGAGTCCAGGCCCCCAGCCCCTCCTCCCTCAGACTCAGGGGTCCAGGCCCCCAGCCCCTCCTCTCTCAGATCCAGGGGTCCAGGCCCCGCCCCTTCCTTCCTCAGACACAAGAGTCCAGGCCCCGCCCCTTCCTTCCTCAGACACAATAGTCCAGGCCCCGCCCCTTCCTTCCTCATATCCAGGAAGCCAGGCCACACTCCTCCCTCAGACCCAGGAGGCCAGACCCCGCCCCTTTCTCCCCACAGACCCAGGGGTCCGAGTCCCCAGCCTCGCCCCAGCCTTCTGTCGGTACCATGACAACCAAGCCCCCGGCTCACTTTTCCCTCCCCCATCTAGAACCCAGTTTCCGTTTGAATCTTGACCGTGTCTAACCCGTTCCTGCTTGAGACAGGAGGGATGAACGGAGGGCAAGTGGGACCAGAAGGGGGATGACAGAGGGGAGAGAAGCCAAGAGGTGGGGCAGAGGCAGCCCAGGGAGGGGAGAGGCGGGGAGAGATGGAAAAGGGAGCCGGGGGGAGAGGCGGGGAGAGGGGCCTGGAGACAGGGAGAGGGAGAGGGGGTCAGAGAAGAGCAGGCAACTACGTATGAATAGAGGGAAGGACGGGGGCCGGGGGCGATGTTGGGGAAATTGAGAAAGGAAGCGACGGGGAAGATGGAACCAGGAAGGGGGAGAGAAATGGGGAGGAAGGTACCCAAGAAATCAAGGGCAAATGTGGAGAATAGATGGAGAGAGAGATTGGGAGATAGGGAAACCAAATTGGGAGAGAGGGAGAGGGGGAGGGGGTCAGAGAGGTGGGGGGAGAATGAAGGAGAGAGAGGGAGAGAGAGGAGTGAGAGGAGAGACTCCAGGAGACAGCGAGAGCCAGGGGAAGCAGCAGAGAGGTGGGAGAGAAGGACCTGGGCCCCCGAGTTGCCCCCCAAGGTCAGGGCCAGCAGGATCTTCACTTGGTCTCAGCCCGCCCGTTCTCCTGCCCTGAGTGTGCTCCGGAGGGTCATAAAACAAGAGGAGGAAGGAAGGACGAGAAGGAACTGGGATGGGTGGCTCAGTCACAGCAGTTCTTCTCACCCTCCTGAGACACCCCCCACCCGCCTTCCCAGGATGCAGCAAGAGGGGGAGCCCCTGAGCTCCTCCGCCCTGGGCACCCCCAGCAGGGAATCAGGTATACTAAGCTGGGTCTGTCTGTAAGCGTGAGTGTGCGTGCGTGCGTGCGTGTGTGTGTGTGTGTGTGTGTGTGTGTGTGTAGCTGGGGGGTGGCGTGGGATTTTTCTTCATGTATTGAGTGGTAGACTCGGCCTGTGGTATGGCCTCCAGGGAGTCACTGGCCTTCCTTCCCAAGAGAAAGCCACCCAGACTCTTGTACTGATCGACCAGTACTCTTTGGACCTCACACTACATTTCCCATGAGCCTCTGCAGTTCCCTGGCCAATGTTCTGGACACAGAACTACGTTTCCCATGAGCCTCTGGGGCCCCAACTACTCTTCCGAGGCCATTATCTTTCTCTGAAGCCCTGCCCTGATCCCTCACACTTTTCCTTTTTTAATTAATTAATTTTTAATTGATTTCAGAGAGAAATGGAAAGGGAGAGAGGGAGAAACATTAAGGATAGGAGTCTTTGATCGGTTGCCTCTTGCATGCCCTCTACTGGGGATTGAGCCCCTATCCCAGGCATGTGCCCTGACTGGGAATCCAACCCTGACCTCCTGGCTCATAGGTCAATGCTCAACCACTGAGCCACACCGGCTGGGCCCTCACACTTTTCTTGTCTTCCACACTGAGCTCAGCATCTTCCCCAAAAGTCACCCCCTCTCCCTGTTTCCCATCTTCTAATGACCCCATCGCCAACCAGATCACTGGGCTAGATCCCACGTGCTGCCCCCAGCCGTCAGTCCCCAGCCCCATTTTCCCACCCACTCTCCCTGCCCCACCCCCGCCGCTGCGTCCCACAGCCCCAGCTCGGCTCTTGTCCTCTTTCCTTGGACCTTTTCTCAGCCTGACTGCCTTGATTTCCAGTTTCTCTCCTCCAGCCACTGCCCACGTGGCTCCAGATGGGTCTTCCTGGCACCAGCGCGGATTCTGTCTTTCCCCTGCTCACAGCTCCCCATCTTTTCTCATCACTCCAGGGACAGAGTCCCAGACCCTCAGCCTGGTGGCCCAGGCCCCGTGTGGCCTGACACCAGCCAACAACCTCAGGCTCAGCTTCCAGGGCTCCCAACTTGCACACTCACTCATTGTCTCATTCAACATTTATTGAATAATCTATCTGGGTAAAGGTGCATTTGCCTAGCACAGTGGTCGGCAAACTGCGGGTTGAGAGCCACATGCAGCTCTTTGGCCCCTTGAGTGTGGCTCTTCCTCAAAATACCACGGACTGGCTGAGTCTATTTAGAAGAAGTGGCATTAGAAGAAGTTTAAGTTTAAAAAATTGGGCTCTCCAAAGGAATTTCAGTGGTTGTCTGGTTGATATTTGGCTCTGTTGACTAATGAGTCTGCCGACCATTGGCCTAGCAGGCAATAGAAAATGAGACTTAGTGTAAAGTATAAGAAAGTCATGCCGAAACAGGTTTGGCTCAGTGGATAGAGCATCAGCCTGCAGACTGAAAGGTCCCAGGTTTGATTCTGGTCAAGGGCATGTACCTTGGTTGTGGGCACATCCCCAATAGGGGGTGTGCAAGAGGCAGCTGATTGATGTTTCTCTCTCATTGATGTTTCTAACTCTCTATCCCTCTCTCTTCCTCTCTGTAAAACAATCAATAATATATATATATATATATATATATATATATATATATATATATATTTTAAAAAGAATAAGAAAGTCATTATCTCACCCAAAATGAAGCCCCCAGGTGGGGCGGGTTTGGTTGAGTCAGCAGCTCAGTGATGCCACGGAGAGCTCAGTGTCCATTTCCATGCGTTTTGGTCAGGGATAGAGTCCCTGTGCACGCCAGCTAACCTCGTGGTCACAGGATGGCTGCCGCAGTTCCAGGCATCACTTCCAGGGCCTTCATCTTCAGAACTCCCAAACAGTCCATATTTCACTGATCATGCTGATCTCAACTGCTGGCAGAAGGAATGAAATGATCACAATTATTTAGTCAGCTCAACCACCAGCTGGAAGAGTTTCTTAAAAACCTATACCTAGCCAAAACCAGTTTGGCTCAGCGGTAGAGCGTCGGTCTGCGGACTTAAAGGTCCCAGGTTCGATTCCGGTCAAGGGCATGTACCTTGGTTGCTGGCACATCCCTGGTAGGGGGTGTGCAAGAGGCAGCTGATCGATGTTTCTCTCTCATTGATGTTTCTAGCTCTCTATCTCTCTCCCTTCCTCTCTGTAAAAAAAAATCAATAAAAACCTATACCTAATTGCACTTCAGATCCAATTTAACCTGAATCTCTAGGACTGGGGTCTTAGCATCTATCTAGTTTTTATTTTTAAATATATTTTTAGTGGTTTTAAAGAGGAAGGGAGAGGGGGGGAGAGATAGAAACATCAATGATGAGAAAGAATCATTGATCAGCTGCCTCCTGCTCGTGCCCTCTCGATCAAACCAGCAACCCAGGCATGTGCCCTTGACTGGAATTGAACCCGGGACCCTTTAGCTTGCAGGCCGAGGCTCTATCCACTGAGCCAAACCGGTTTCGGCACCGACACCTAGATTTTTATCCTGATTCTAGCGCTTTGGGCTCTGTGACCTTGGGCAGGCCACTTGGCCTCTCTGTGCTTTCGTTCAATCATTTGCTAAACTCCACTGTCCCAGAAAGCTGTCGTGCGGACGCCATGGGAAGCACTTGTGAGCGTGCTTGGCTCTTGAAAAGGGACAGTAACCATGGAGTTACTAAGTGGACGGAGAAGGAGACTCTTGTGTTGGAGGGATGGAGGGGGGTGGTCAGAGAGGTCAGCAGGAGTGACCACACGCAGGGCAGGTGCTTCTCAAAGGGGATCTTGTCAGAATGCTCGTTCTGGCCCAGGAGGTCTGGGATGGACCCTGAAGGCAAGAGGAAGCCGCTGATGGTTGTGAGTATGGGATGCTGGGATGTACAATTCCCTCCGCTGCTCTGCGGGAACATGCAGGGGGTGGCAGGATGGGGATCAGAGCCCCGAAGTCAGAGAGCACCAGGAGCACCGTGGTGACAGCTCAGCGCCGGAGGCAGCCCGTGCCGGCTAACAGGAGCCCATGGCTGAGTTTTGCGAACTGGTTGTTAAAACCGTGGGTAGCGGAAACCGGTTTGGCTCAGTGGATAGAGCATCGGTCTGCGGACTGAAAGGTTCAATTCCTGTCAAGGGCATGTACATTGGTTGCGGGCACATCCCCGGTAGGGGGTGTGCAGGAGGCAGCTGGTCGATGTTTCTCGTCGATGTTTCTAGCTCTCTAGCTCTCTCCCTTCCTCTCTGTGAAAAATCAAGTGCAGGTAGAACTTGAGGATTGCAGAGGAAGAGGAAAATGCAAGGCGGGTAGCCACTGGCCGTTGTGTAGAAGGGCCAGTCAAGTTCCAATCAGGAGGCTTCATCGCACACGAGGAGCGCTCAGGGAAGCTGGGTTCTCTGTCTCCAGGGGCCCTCCGTGCGGACCTCGAGGCCTCGGAAGAGAACCAGGCTTGGAGCCTGTGCAGGCCCAACAAATACTCGTGAGTAGCCCCCTGACCCCCTGATTTCCGACATCAGCACCCTGGACAGCGACCCCCGGCCTTGGAGCTCGCGGCTGCCCATTGGCTCTCTCCCCAGGAAGCAGTACCTGCGCCAGGTCATAGCAGAATATGAAAGTCTGGACCGAGAGCTCCCGTGCATCCGGAAGTTCCTCACGCCCCCCACCGCCCAGCCCCTCTGCCTGTGCATGGAGGCCTCGGTGAGTGGCCCCTCGCCCTGTGGCCCTGGCTGGGATGGTGGAAAGGGCACAGGCACAGAGCCAGGCTCTGGGTTTACCAGCTGCGGGCTTGGCACCAGCACAGGTTGCTGAAGATTGATTGTGAATTTTGGGTCAATTGGCAAATGTATCACTGCTGATCCCAGAGGGGCAGGGGGAGGGGGAGGACGAGGGGCAGAGAGGGGGGAGACTGAGGACAAAGGGAATCTGCCCGCCCAGTGGTAGGCAAACTCATTAGTCCACAGAGCCAAGTACCAATAGGGAAGCGATTGAAATTTCTTTGGAGAGCCACATTTTTTAAACTTTAACTTTTCCTAACGCCACTTTCTAACGCCAAATAGACTCGCCCAGGCCGTGGTATTTTGTGGAAGAGCCACACTCAAGGGGCCAAGGAGCCGCATGTGGCTTGAGAGCCACAGTTTGCCGGCCACTGTTAGTCCATCTACTCTGAAATTCCGTAAAGTTTACAGATATAGCAAACACGTACGAAAAGGCAAATGTTTTTAGTAGATCCCGTGAACTGGTGATTCAGTGTACAGATCCTTTGGCAGCCCTGACCTCGGTCAGAGATAACTATCAGGGTCTCACTCGGGCAGGAGCTGAGCGAGAAGACTGGGCGTTAGTGGACATTCCCATTGTCAGGTGCCGCTCAGAGGCCCTCCCTCAGTGATCTGGGTGACTTCACCCCAACCAAGGTCTGCTGTCCTCACTTTTAGCAACAAATCTCCATCCCATTGTTCCTCTTCTTTATGGTTTTGAACGTGGGACCTCCTTCCTTCCCCCAACCCCCAAAGCTTGCCTTCCTGGAGACCAATTCTATGACTTCATTTTAGTTCCTCTAAAATTTTATATGCTATGACGATGACATTTCTTGGTACTGTCATGCTGAAAATGTGATAATGATTAATGTGTGCTTCTGATCATTAAATAGACTCACAGGAAGTTAAAACTCCCGATGACCCTTAGTTCTTTGACAACTGAACATCTAATCCTGTGGTTACCAACCTTTTGGACCTCACACACCACCAGTGGCCCGGGGACCAGAACCGGCGGTCCAACATCTCCCCAAGGGTCCCCAATTGCAAGAGGGCACAGGCCAGGCTGAGGGACCCCACTGGTGCACACATCTGTGCATTGGGCCTCTAGTATGAATATGAGAGGGAAAGTGTGTGACTTAAATCTTTGCGAAAATTTTCAAGAGCTGCTGAGAGCTTGCCATCCAGTGCAGGCTGCTGGGGAGGTTTTCGGTAGATTGGTCAAGTGGGCCCCATTGGTGACTTCTGACCAACCAGTTGGTGAGAATTGATATATATATATATATATATATATATATATATATATATATATATATTAATATATTTTATTGATTTTGTACAGAGAGGGAGGGAGAGAGATAGAGAATTAGAAACATCGATGAGAGAGAGTCATCGATCAGCTGCCTCTTGCACACCCCCTACTGGGGATATGCCCGCAACCAAGGTACATGCCCTTGACCGGAATCGAACCCGGGACCCTTCAGTCCCCAAGCCGACGCTCTATCCATTGAGCCAAACCGGTTTCGGCGAGAATTGATATTTTGGGGCATGACCTTGAACCCCACTCTGTCGAGAGAAAGATGGGACCCTTTGATCAGGTGTGATCCTTGCCCCTGGAATGCCACCTGGGACTCTGGCAAGTTCTGCAAGTAGGGTTTGGGGAGGGGGGTGGGACTTCTGAACCCGGAATGGACCCGGTGTCACCGGCTGAGGCTCGCTCTCTGACTCTCCCAGCCTGAGCAGGACCTTACCCACCTAGCGGTGCTGGAGGCGCTGGAGGCCGAACTACCGGGGGCCATGGAGAGCGGCTGCGTGAGCAGCATCCGCTTTGAGGACATGAACGTCATCTGTGGGACCGCGGGGCGCAGGAACCGGTGAGCCCGCGGCGGGCCTGGGGCCTGGAGAGGCGGTAAAGGTGGAGCGTGGAGAGGCAGGGCAGGGCCTAGCGGGAGCTGGAGGAGCAGACCCTGGGGGACTTGAGATGGGGGCGGGGCTTGGAGGGTGGGGCCTGCTTGGAGGGGCGGGGCCTACTTGGAGGGGGTGGGGCGGGGTCCAAGGGGCTGAGGGCGGGGCCGGGAAGTTAAGGTGGGGGAGGGCGGGGCCTGGAGCATCTGGAGAAGAACAGAGTTTATGTAAGGCGAGATGATGAAGAGTTTGATGGGAACAGGGAAGGGAGCCAAGCGTGATGTGCGCGGTCCAGGGGCAGGGCCAGGTGAGGTCAGAGAGAAGGCGGGAGCTGAAGTGAAGGGGTTTTGAATCGCTCAGGTGATGGATGAACAGGACAGGCCAGACCGAGGCGTGGGGACGGGGCCTGGACTGAGCGCAGTGCAGGTGCGGGCCTGGTCTGAGCGCGTTGCAGGGCTGAGCATATTCAGGGGCGGGGCCTGGACTGAGCATATTCAGGGGCGGGGCCTGGACTGAGCGCAGTGCAGGGGCGGGGCCTGGTCTGAGCGCGTTGCAGGGGCGGGGCCTGGACTGAGCATATTTCAGGGGCGGGGCCTGGACTAAGCGCAGTGCAGGGGCGGGGCCCAGAGTGATTGGCGTGTGGCTGGGGGCGGGTCCAGGAGGGACAGATGGAAGTCCCCGCCTAAGAGCCACACTGACAGGCGGGGCTTGGACGGAAGAGGGGGCGGGGCCTAGAGCTGCTGGGTGAAGGTCTGGCCAGGGAGCGGCGGTTTGAAAGCGAACAGCCTCGACAGACCGCGCTCAGAGGACGAAAGCCAGGCTGAGAGGGAGGACGAGGCCTAGAATGACCCAGTGAGGGCCGAAGGGCAGGGCTGGGGAGGGGTTTCGGGACGGGGGCGGGGGGCGGGGCTGGTTGAGGAACCGGAATGGGTAAACGCACAGGGACCCGGCAGGGACTCCGCGACAATCCAAGGCGGGGCCGGGAGCACCAGCGATCACCTGGCCGTGTCCACCCCGGCCCCTCTCCCCCCGGCCCGGCCCCTCTCAGGTGGCTCATCACCGTCTCGGACTTCCAGACCCGCTCGCGCCTGCTGCGCTCGGGGCTCCGCCTCCGCGGGTCGGCGCACCCGCTGCTGCGCCACGACGAGCTGCTGCTGAGCGACTACCGCCTGCACCTCCGCCGCTCGCTGGTCCGACGGCGCATGCTCGAGGCTCTGGGGGCGGATCCCACCGAGGAAGACTGACAGCTGAGGGGGGCGGGCTCTTGCCGCGCATGCGCACCGCCTGGCCGGTTCAGGCTATTCACCCGGAGTCCCCCCTACCCCCTCCTCCCCGGCCCGCGAGGAAAGGGGGCGCGTCCTCCCCACGAAGGAGGCGGGGCCGGCTCGAGGGGGTGGATACTGTGAGTTTAATTATAAAGAATGACCTGGTACAAAAGCCATTTCTCTCTGCAAAATCTTGTTGGGTAGCCAGGGGAGATGATGGGGGGGAAGGGTCGAACCCCCATAATAGGATCCCACCTTCCTAGTCTCCCCCCGCCCCCCCGCCCCGCCCCGTCCCTGCAAACGGACGCCTGAGTCCCAGGGCCCTGAGGGATGGACTGAGGCCCGCGTCCCGACCCCACGCTCGGCGAGAAGCGGACGTCCAGCCCCGCCCCCCTCTTCCTCCTCCTCCTCCCACCCCCCTTGGAAGACAATTCTCCGGGCTTTTATTTCAGGTATGTTTTTTTTTTCTGGATTTTTTTGTGTGTGTGTGTTCTAGGGTTTTGTTTTTCCTTGTATTTTCTTTTGATATTGTAACTTTTTGCTTTGTCTCTCCTCTCCTCCCGTGCTGCAGCCCCATCCAGGCCCTTCCCCCTCCCACCCCTACCTCTCCTCCCCCCTCCCCACCCCCTACTCCCTCCCAACCCCGCGGCACCCATCCGGAATGAACAAGCCCTTGATAGACGGGCGCCGCGCAGGCCCCCTGCGGACGGGGGGCATCCGACAAGGCGGAGGGGGCGGGGAGGGGCCCAGCGCCGCCTCCACCCCCTCCTCGCCGCCCCTCCCCCCTCCCAGGACCCTCCCGCAAGGTTCCCCGCAGATCCCTGACGTGGTGAGGGGAGAGGGCAGCAAGCACCCTCCCCGCCGTGGACGGAGCCCCCCCCCTCGGGGGTGGGGGCGGCAGAGGGGGGACGGGCTTGGGGGAAGGAGGGGGCGCTCCCTTCTTTGGCAGCTGAACATGGGGGACCTGAGGGCGATGCCCTCCCCCCTTTACCCACAGAGGGGAGGGGGCTTCCCAGGGGAAGGGGTTTAACATTCCCAAGCCCCAGGAACAGAGGGGGGGAGGGGGCGTGCAGGGAGGAACAGCCATGCCGGAGGGGGGCAGTTTCTCGGAGAGACTGGAGGGTTGGGGGGCGGGGAGGGGGGACACGACGGTCTTCGTGCAAAATGGAAAGACAGACGGCCGGGAACGACAGACTGGGAGGAGCGCGGGGAGGGAGCCTGCGCCAGAGGGCACAGCCTTCAGCCGGGAGGGGACGCGGGGGGAGCGGGGCCTGATCCTCTCTGGCCGGAGAGGGAGAAGCGCGTGGAGACGGGGGAGAACGGGCAGAGAGAGGAGGCTGCGGAGCGGCTCCCTCCCGGGACAGATCACACGGCCGCCACCGGGACAGGAAGCGGTCAGACAGGCCCGGGTGTGGAGGGGGCCCCGGGAGTGTGGAGGGGGGCCCGTGTGCAAAAGGCAAGTGTTCCCCAAAGGGAGATGGAGGACGTGGCCCAGGAGCTGACAGGAACGAGTCGGAACTCAGGAATGAGAGCGCAGCAAAGCCGGTGTGCGAGGGCATCCTGAAGGAACAGAGGCTTCCGAGGCGGAAGTGCGGGGGGATGCGTGTGCAAGAATGCGTGTGCGAGACGGTCCACGAAAGAGGCGATGGGGATGGACAAAGATGACGAAGAGGAAGGAAGGGGCGAGAGCACGGGAGCCCGGCAGGGAGGAGAGGAATGCGCATGGAGAAACAGTCCCCGGGAAGCCACGCGATGGAAGTGACAGGGCGAGGGGGCGGGGCAGCGAGGGGGCGTGGTCGGGCGTCACGTGGCAGGCAGCAGCGGGCAGGGGAAGGATGTCGGGTTCCAGAATCAGAGGGCAAAGTGCTTAAAGAAATCGGAGGCGAGCGTGTCCGGAGAGTCGCGCCGGACGGACGGACGGCGAGTGTGCAAAGGCTGAACGGAGAGAAGGGGATTCCAGAGAATCGGCGTGTGCACGGAGCCTGTGAGCGTGGGGGGGGGGGGAGGGAGGAGGCGGGTGTCCCAAGTGTGTCTGCAGCAAGGGCCCGGAGGTTTCCAGGAGGGAGGTGCATGGGGCATAAGCGTGCAAGCCGGAGCCGGGGAGCGCGGGCGATGAGTGCGAGGGGAGCAGAGCTGAGGCCTCGCAGGCCAGAAGCAAAGGCGGCGGCATGTGCAAGGCGGCGAGGGGGCAAATTTGTGCAAAATTGTAGCCCAGGGAGCGGGGAGAGGCAAGCAGGCGTGCAAAGGGGCGTGCAAGAGGCTGGGTGGGGGTGCCGCTGTGTGTGCTGAGGGAGGGGAAGGCGGGGAGAACGGAGGGGCCTGGAGAAGGGGGGAAGGATTGGTTGTTGGAGGGGTGGCAGGTGGTGGAATCTGAGGGCATCCCCTTCCCCTGAGGCCTGGGGGACGACCCTCCCCCCCCCCACCCAGTCAGGCTCGGGGCTGGCCCTCTATGGCTGTCAGTCCCGCCTCCCCGGAATCGACCCTTCCCTCTTCCTCCTTCCCCCTCCGGTCTCTTCCGTGCCCGCCCCCTCAGCTCCCAGCTGCACACACAGTCCCGTTAGCTGCCCCCTCCTGCGAGGTGCAAATGTCTGGCTGGAATCAGGCCACCCGGTGACCTCCAGCCTCGGGAGATGGGGGCAGGGCACAGTTGTAGCAAGGCCCCTGGCCCGGGAAGAGAATAACGATCAGGGGTCAGAGGTCCGGAGGCCGGCGAGCCCCAGGGTTCCGCGGACGGGCTGGTCCGTCCGGGCCAGCCATCACCTCTCCAGGAAGAATTTGAGAGCCCGGTCGATGTTCATGCGGTGGCCCACGCGGGTCACGCCCAGGTCCACGTAGTCCTCCTTGGTCAGGGCGGGCAGGTGGGAGCCGTCGATCTCGTGGTCCAGGAAGCGGGCCCGGTGCTCGGCCAGGCCCAGCCACTCGAGCCAGTCGGCCACGTCGAACTTGGTCCAGAAGCCCAGGGGCTTGGCGCCGAAAGGCTTGTCCGGGGGCAGCGAAAGCAGGCGGGTCGGCGAGAGGGAGCGGGAGGCCCCGGACAGGGCTCCCCCGAGGCCCCCGGACATCCCCGGGTGCGGCGGCACGAAGACCGGGGCGAAGGGGTCGGCCGAGCCTCCGGGCCCTCCGGTGGGAGAGCTCCGGATGTCAAAGAGGCCCGAGTAGAGGGGTCCGGAAGGCAGGATGGGCAGGGACGAGGGCCGGGGCGCAGGGCTGACCTTGTGCTCCGACGCGGGCAGGAGCGAGGGGCTGGGCGCCCGGCGGAGCAGGGGCGGCCGCATCTCGAACTCCACGCCCTGGAGGTGGCGGGTGGACGCGGAGGAGGAGGCGGCGGAGGGTGAGGTGGCCCCGGAGGCCGCGGCGGCGGAGGGGACCCCGGTCCCCGTGGGCAGCGGCGGCAGGGGCGTTTTGGGCCAGTTCTGAAACAGGCTGCTCACGGGTTTGGTGAGGAGCGAGGACTGGGAGTCTTCGGACAGTCTGGAAGGTGACAAGGGGGGCGGGGTGAAGGGCAGGGGGTGGGGGTGGGGTGAGGGCAGGTGAGAATAGAGGAACAGGTCCAGATGGAGGGAGAGAGGAAGGAAGGGAGACATAGGGGCGGGGTCAAGAGATAGAGAAGAGAGAGAGAAGGAGCGAGTTGGGGGCGGGGGGAAGATGGATGTCAGGACAGAAATGGAGGGAAGAGAGAGATGAGAGGACAGGGAGAGGGCGACAGTCGAGAGAGATGAAAGAAAAAGAGACATTAAGTGATAATAATCATCATCTCCACCACTTACTGATGCTCACGTGTGCCAGGCATTGTTCTACGTGCTTTGCGCATCGCATCTCAATTGAGCACCCCCCACGGCCGCCCCGATGCGGGTTGCTGTTTATTGTCGTAGGCACAGAGAGGTTAAGGAACTTGCCTAAGGACACACAGCCAGGAAGTGGCAGAGCCCGGTTAGATGGCACCGAAGTCTGAGCTCTTAACCACTATTCTATACTGCCTTTTGGGTTATGGCCAGTCACAGCGGAGTGAAAGACAGGGAGACGGTGGGAGAGGAACAAAAAGAAGGTGAGCGTTGAGGGGAGAGAGAGATGGAGGGGGACGGGGAACAGAGAAAGAGAGAGAGATGAGGAGAGGGAGATGAAAGAGAGAAGAAACGAGGGGAGAAAAAGGTTCCCCTCATCCCTTTAGCTCCCTCCGGAACAGTCCAGCCTCAGGGGGTTTGAACTGGCTGTTCCCTCTGCCTAGCTCACTGTTCCTCCAAGTAGCTCTGGGTTTGCTTCCCTCCCCCCTCCTCCAGTCTCCGCTCCTCTTGCTCTTGAGGGCCCTTCTCTAACCAGCCCCTTATTGCATGCCCCCTGGCCCCCCCAAACTGCAGTTATTTTGCCGTCTGGCCTCTCCCTCTGTCTCATTAAGCTGTGAGCTCTCTGAGGGCGACACTTTGCCTGTCCTGTCCACTGGGGGGCGCCCTCTCACCCATAAGGGCACCCAGCATCTAAGGTAGTAGGTGGCAAATAATCGGTTCAGCTGTCGCCTACATTAAGCATCCTTTTCTCTACCTAGAATACTTAAGAATCCTCAATGGGCCCCAACCGGTTTGGCACAGTGGATAGAGCGTCGGCCTGTGGACTGAAAGGTCCCAGGTTCGATTCCGGTCAAGGGCATGTACCTTGGTTGTGGGCACACCCCCAGGAGGAGGTGTGCAGGAGGCAGCTGATGGATGTTTCTCTCTCATTGATGTTTCTAACTCTCTCTTCCTTCCTCTCTGTAAAAAAAATCAATAATTATATATATATTTAAGAATCCTCAATGGCCTGATAAAGCCACGTTCAAAGGACATCAGACCTTCAAACAATTAGAGTGAACTCCACAGATGGGCAGGGAATTAAAAAAAAAAAAAAAAAAAAAAACAACACACAAAACCTCGCTTCATTCTCTGGGGTGTCTAAATCAGGAATGTGACTCTATTTCCCTAAGACTAGAGTGAACTTGAACTTGGCGA